CCCAGGGAACAGGGAATCTTCTGCTTGACAGCACAGAGACACATCACACACACACGTTCACACACTATCTGATAGTGTGGCAGCTAAAGAAACTTTGTGCAGGTTTCAGACATCATGATGAGCATGCACGTGACTGTCTTTGCGCACAGACGTGACCGGAAGAGGACAGAATATTTCTGAAAAAATCTGTTGATCCTGTAAAACACTCATCACCAAATAGCCGTGTATCCACAGCATTCCAGTATCCGCGGCTTGATTAAAACCCTTTCTCCACAAGATACCATGGGACCGCTTTGTGGGTGTCTATTTAATCACGCTCTTGATCTGTTGAATGGCATTGTGTTTGATGTTGGTTAATGCGCTTCCTTTGTGCCACTGCGTAAGTGGCTCTCTTGAGGAAAATTATGTGCATATTTTCGCTAAAGGTGACATTTCCTTGTTCGCTCTGTGAAATAAACGAGTGCAGAAGGCTGCGTTGCATCTATTTTGTGACTGAGAGGAGAGCAGGCCTGTTTGGTCTGTGCCAAAGCTATCTGCTAATGGAATTTGGCTGCACTGCCACAGATGCATTTATAGTATACCATTAATTCATTAAGGAACTGCAGTCCTCTCTTTTCAAATAAAACAAGAGACGAGGAGGGGGAAAGGGAGAGAGACAGCTTGCATTTGGGAGGAGTGTCATTAATCTCAGAGGCCTGGTGTCAAGGACAAATGGTGAAGGAGCGGAAGTACAGTGTGTATCTGTGCTTTCATGTGTATGCGTGTCATTGTGAGGTCGCACCTGTGTGTGCAGTTATAGCTGCTGACAGAGGGAGGGAGGCGGCTAATTTTAGTTCAGGTGAAAGAAAGGAGGGAGCGGAGGAAGGTTTTGATGAGCAGGATCGTTGTCGGGGAGCTGAAATCCACATCCAAAAACAAACAGGCACCAAGCGAGGCAGGATGACAGACTGACAGGGCCCAGACAGACGAGCCCCATCGATCAAAACCACAGTGGCTTTAGTTTATTGATCATACAGCACAGAGACCTGGGGAGTGAGGGAGCAGGAGGCAGAGGAGAAACAAAAAAAGCTCAGGGAGTAGGTCAAAGAAAAACATTTTGTAGATGCGTAGATTAAGAGACAAGAGAGAGTAAGAGCTGCACAAGGACAATCACCCTTGCAGACATCATTTCTGTCTTTAAAAATAACACTGTTCTCACCAAGTTGCCGAGATTTGGGAACACAGCTACACTGCTAAAAATAAGTCAGACAGGACAAGAAATCCTGTTTTGCCAAATTTCTTCCATAATCTGGCTAAACTGTTTTACATTTTATTACAGTCTGATTAACTGTGCGCTTGTGTTTCAGAATCTTTATCTCTGTTTTTGGTCACCACCAACTACTAACTAAACTAAACTAAACACATCACTATATTCACCAGCTAGTCGCTGACTGTTTGTCTGCCAGTTGGTGCTGAGATGATATATGTTGCCTTCTTGTCCACCCTAAAGTCTCCTTATCTGACTTACAAACACAAACACACATCTTGTCATGCACCATAGCTTGTTGAACGTACCACCAAACAAACAACAAAACAACATTCACCGGGGGAAGTGCACTGCTGACGTCAGTTTGCAGTCTACATAGGGAATGCAGCTGCTCACCTGCAGCAGATTGAACAGCATGTAAACATTAGATGCTGGTGTTCTCGTAACTCTTCAATATCACTAACAACATGCTCTCTGCCCATCATATGTGGGCTACAAAGCATGTTTGTTTACTTTGTCTCTCGTTCCCTGTGGTGTAACAGACACACCGGCACGCCGCTCCAGCTGGATGAAAAGATGAAAAGGAGCATTTCTGAAATTTCCCCAAAGACCCTTTTTCTTGCTTTTAATAATAAAAACTATAGCCTTCTATACTCATACATGTATACTGACAAAAAGGGATGACTAAATGTGATTTATGTTGGACTTCTGTCTGAAAACCTGATTTGGCTTAATAAAACCATGTTAGTGTATTGTTGGTGCTCGTGTCTGTGTCTTAGCTGAAGCAGAAATCTGTGTTCAGCTGGCAGCTCAAAACACAAAGTTGTTGAAGGCCAAGACTTAAAGGCAACATTGATGTTGCTTTTCATAACTAATCCTTTTGACCCTCTTGATTTTTTCACATTCAAATTCACATTGAAAATGATCCATCTGTCATTATTTCAAAGAGAAAAACGTTGAACAGTTAGAAGTTTAAAGCAGATAAAAGTATTGTTATTACAATGTGACAACAATGTGGAGGGTTTTTATTTCATAGTGATTAACCTTTAAAGAATTATTGCCTGAATCTGAAGCTCCCTTTGGCGTTACAGAGCTTTATAATGAATTTCAGCTCATTGTTTAGGTGTCCAGCCTGCAACTTTTCTGTTCTGGTTCACTCTCACAGCTTTCATTGTTTGTAGCCACAGCAGGCAGTTTTCAGTGAAATACCACCTAAAACCCACACTACATACCTGCTCAGCACCAAACAGCAGACAGAAACAGTTAGAAACTAACTTCTGTAAATAGTGGAGCTAAATAATCAGTTATTTTTCTTTCTCAGTAGATGGTAGAGATCAAAAACAGAGCTAAAAGACTGAATACTGAACTTACATCCATCAGGTGGCCAGGAACGTGACTGAATAGTTATGCTGCTCCATTACTGTGTTAGGGACGTGTAAATAAGCAAGTGTTTGCCAACAAATTTGTCATATCAATTTGAACAGTGATGATGTGCCCATGTTGTCTTCACAACTAGTTTCTGCTACCCTTAAGCGGCCAAAACAACTGTTATCGCAGGTGTTAGCATTTATGTCAGAATTTATGCTTCAAGCTCGCTGGAAATTCTTGTTGACAGGCAAAATTTAGGCAGTATCCTTCACTATCTCAGAAAAAATGCAGAGTGCGTCGTCACCCTGAGGCACAGGAGAGCCATTAAACAATTAATCTGCTTTGTCAGATCAGAGTAAAACAGTCTGCAGCCATATGAGCAGAAGACACAGGCTCACCTGCAAATTAAACTGTGTTTCTGTGTTCAGCATGAATATAAAACACTTTTATATGTCACCCTGTCTTACATCTATAGATTGACTATAAAACTCAAGAGGCACTCCCTGAAACCTCATTTATTTTGAACTCCTTGACTGATATTATCTAGGACCCAGCAATGCAATTACAGGGGCCCTGCCATCAATAGTGGGTTCCAGCAGTGCAAGCATGACAGAAATCCACTTATTCCATCTGGTATTGATGTCAATTTACTGTTTCATTACAGCAAGAGCTTAGAGAGCAGCACATGATCACAACTGAATGAGTATCTTATTATGGGACCTTAAAGCAAGTTTAGAACCACAGTGGATAAATAATGCAACAGATACAATGCGTAATCATGCACAGACGCTCAGCAGACACACAAGCACTTGCAAAGATAGCAATAGATTAGGTGTGAGGACATTGTTCTGATGCATATGTATGAGTTGCAGCAGGTAATATTGAGAGAGTCCTTCAGTGTGCACTGTCGCTGCTGAATACAAACCAGGTATAGTTTTCAAATTCTTTATTTTTATCGGTATACTCTTTTACTACTTTACGTGTAAATATTATATTATACAATTTTGTTGTGCTTTACTTGAGCATTTCCATTTTATGCTACTTTTTACTTCTACTCCACAGCATTTCACAGGGAAATATTGTACTTTTGCTCCACTATACAGTATTTATCTGACGATTTTAGTTACTAGTTACTTTTCAGATTAAAAGTTTACACAAAAAACCTCAAGTGAATTTCTAGAAATTATATATTGTTAAGGGTTGAACTACCAAATAGTAATTTATGGTAGATAAAATTAGCTCCACCTCAACCAACTATATTAATAGTAATGCTAGGGTCCATCCTGTGCTTTATGAGTACTTTTACTTTTGATATTAATTTTCTTGTTGCTAATATATTTATATTTTTACAAAATTTTTGAATGCAGGGCTTCTAAATGACTTCCTTTGAATCTGCAGTAAGTTATTTTTTTGGCCACTTTATGGCAGCTCACCTAGCTGGAATAACAATACTGACATATGGCCCTTTTGCTCGTGCAGATATACGGAGAAACATAAGCATTCATTTGTAGTTGAGTTTATGGCCAAATGGTGAATTTAAGTTCAATATTCATCCTAATTTTAGCTCGGTTTTGTTCTCCATGAACCCCTGAAGGAAAACTCCTGAAGGAAATGCTGCTAGAAATGAGGCTATGAGAGCGGTGACACTGAACCAAAACAGTAAAGTTGCTGTAAAACCAAAACGATGGCCAATGTTAATAGACATTTTTTAGAAATTTACATTTATATTTTTTACTTTTTACATTTTGTCAGTTTTTTCATACATACATTCAATTTATGTACACATTATCACACACACACACACACATGCAATCTAGTGGAATCCAATGCAGAAGTCCTGAAGTTTTGTGAGGATAATAATGTTCTGTCGTTGTGTGTGGTGTTGATTCAACTCTGTAGCTTTTTAGCTGTTGTTTGAGGTTTTGTTATATTGGATTGCGTTGTATTATACATGAGTTCATGTTATTGTTATTGTTGTTCTCCTATGCTGCAAGAACTCTCTGTCTCTTGCAGGGTTTACTGCAGTTGCTAAAGTTGATAAATGAGGAAACGCTAGAATGTTTTTGGGGTTGAAACTGAGAAACTGTGACTCTGCGAACAATATTGATTAGGGAAATGTCTGCGTCAGGTGAAACACTTGGAGCCTCACCAACCTCATCCTCTCTAATTTGTACTCTGGCTCACAGTCAGACCACGAGGATAGTTGAGTGCTTTCACACCCACTGGCCTGAGGTCGAGTCCCACCAGCACTTCCCTTCCTGTTCCCCCATCTGCTTTGTATCTGCTGACTGATCACTTGCTAAAAAATTCCACTTTGCTAAAATTATCCTCTTTTCCCCACCCCTCACCCTGCTCCCTCCCTATGCTCCAACACTCAACATCGTAGGTGTAACACTGTCTTAAGCCTGAGGGGGGCAGAATGCCGGAGCAGAGCAACGACTATCGTGTGGTGGTGTTCGGGGCAGGGGGAGTAGGGAAGAGCTCCCTGGTCCTGCGCTTCGTGAAGGGCACCTTTAGGGACACCTACATCCCTACAGTGGAGGACACCTACCGCCAGGTGATCAGCTGCGATAAGAGCGTGTGCACCCTCCAGATCACCGACACCACAGGGAGCCACCAGTTCCCGGCCATGCAGCGCCTGTCCATCTCTAAAGGCCATGCCTTCATCCTGGTCTACTCCATCACGAGCAAACAGTCCCTGGAGGAGCTCAAACCCATTTACCAACAGGTGGGGAGTGATGCTGTGTGTGTTTGTTGATGGCTGTGGTTGACTGTAGGTGAGTGTGTACTATAAAGAGGGAGGCTGGTGTTAAAGTTGAGTGTATGAGTGAATTTATATGTGTTTGGGGTCTACATGTCTACAATATAGAGGTGCCTAAGTACTGACATCACCTTCAGGTTAGCATCTGTTCCACTAGTTTTTGTAACTTAATGGAATATTTCATTTTGTCTGTTTCTGATATAAGCCTGGGGTTTTACTTACCATATCCTAAGAAAATTGGAATCCAGCATAATAAAAAATTAAAACCTTTGTCATTATAGCTAACTTAAATAATTACTTTTAGAGCATACAAACAACTATAGCTCCCATGATAATTTATGAGCGCAGCACAGGTTCTTAAATTATCGTAACTTTTCATCCATATCCATTTTTCCAACTTTCAATCTCTGCCATGGTGTGTTGCTGTTACCACAAACATGTTTGAACTAACTGCGAACCCTTGACTCTTGCATGGACGCGCCTCTTTTGTCAAGCCGTGACATTAAACTTTGAAGGTCCGTGGGCTCACTGGAAATATTGAAAAACTGAATACTGAATAAACACTGAAAAATGTATTTAATAAACAATTATATAAAAGCTTTCTTTTTTAAAACTACAGTTTTTATTCAGACTTATGGAGTGAAACACACAACTTTTTGTTGAGTAAGGCTTTGTTCAAAGGCTGTATTTTTAATTATGTTATTACAAATATCAGTGTGATTATGAATGAGCTTTTCTTACTCTGGAACAGAACCAGAAGGTTGTGGTTTCACTTTGGCTCTCTATATATGAATTGATTGAAGAAGACTGACTTCTTCCAGTAAACTGTATACAGGAAAACACCCACAATGTTGTCCAGAAACTGGTTTTATGTCAAAGTAAGTCTTTTTTCTTTTGGGCAATAAGATACCATATAAGATATAGTTGGATGAAATATTTCTCTCTAAATAAGGAACGCTACACAAAGACACTGCAGCAAAAATATAAAAACATCTGTGCTAATGGGTGCATTGACAGTTCAAATAAAGTTCCAGCAAGATACTGACTGGATTTTTCTCTGTTGCTGAGTATTTACTAAATTAATATGTATATATATATTAATTTTGTATTTTGCCTTATGGATCAGTAATAAAATATTAAATATATATATATAATAAGCCTATATATAGGCTACCAGCCAATTGCCTTATTAGTTTATCTACAACCCATTAACAAGTCATTTAATAGTGTTAATAATGTAATTTGATACAAGTAGAAATAGGTAACTTATCAACATGTCATTAGACTTTACATGTATCGTAACCAAATCCAGACTGGAAATACAAATGATTAATCACTTCTATTGCACAATTCATGCATGAAGTGCAACACTAAGTGCTTTACAGAAAAGCAAGCAGTGTGTAAAAGTTGTGTCTCAAGATTTTGGGTCTGTAGATGAAGATGTCCTGTATTTTATCTTTTAGGCATATGTTCTATTTGGATGCCATACTTGGGGTTAAGATTAATAAGATTTATAATGTGAGCTGACCAGCCAGTACGTAACATTTTCCTCCTCCTCTGCAGGTCTTGGCCATTAAGGGCAATGTTGAGGCCATTCCCATCATGCTTGTGGGCAACAAGAGCGATGAGACCCAGCGGGAGGTGGAGACCAAGGACGGGGAAGCCCAGGCCAACCAGTGGAAGTGCGCCTTCATGGAGACATCGGCCAAGACCAACCACAACGTCACTGAGCTCTTCCAGGAGCTCCTCAACCTGGACAAGAAGAGGAACATGAGCCTCAATATCGACGGCAAGCGCTCGGGGAAGCAGTCCCGCGCAGAGAGACTGAAGGGCAAATGCAGCGTGATGTAAAAATCCAGGAGAGGAGGAGGTGGGGGAGGTGGAGGCGAGAGAGAGGGGGGAGGAAATACAGAGGAAAGGAGGAAGAGAAGGAAGACGAGAGAGAGGAGAGACTCACTAAACGTATCACTCAGAGCAAAACGTCCAGAAGGCAACAGGAATCTCATCATCCACATCCTCCTCCGTTTGACTGGTGCATTCACAAACACAACTCAGCTGTTATTTTGAAAACATACAGGATTTCAGTTTGGAGCTTTACATCCATGTGCATTCTACTATAAGGAGAGATGAGGGGCACTGATGCAGAAGCAAATTAAAAATGAGAAGAGTGCGTCATAGTCGGAAAACAGCGTGGGTGTGGACTTTTGTATCATCCAAGTGCCACAGAACCAAGACGTCGGACTGCAATAAAGACCACAGACTGCAGCACCCCTTGAAAAAACACTAAAGGTTTCTGATCTACACAAAACATTTAGTGTCCTCTCTCACTTCTACACCTGCCTTTCCCTGCTCAGCTCACTCCTTAACTCCCCACCTCATCATCCCAGCACCCTCATCCTTTGCATACTATAACAAATATAAAGAAATGTAATGTATATGTAACAGAGTCAACACAGTTAGTTAAGCTCACTCATCTGGTAGAAACACTATTTTAAGAGACTGAGGTGTCCGTCATGCTAGAAAGCACAGGACCCCCTGAAGGTTTGAGACTGCTAGCATGAACGGCACGTGTTACAGCAGCAAAACGTATGACACTCCTGAGGACACTGATGTAAATAAACATGGGATATTTAAATATATTCCATCTAGTCTACACATGCCCTGCCCAAACTAGTATATCAGCCACAGGAATATGGTGAGGTTTGACGCATTAAAGCTTAAATTCGTGGCTAGAGGACAAATCTTATCATCTTCTCATCCTAACCATCCCTCCTGAAAGATAAAAAAGACCGTACTTTTCCTTTATCAACCTGTCATAATGTTAAAAACTCATCTGCAGACTCTCTAAATGTCCTCATCTGAAGTGGAGAAGCATCCAGCGGCAGGGTATGCACACACACGCTACTGATACGACGCAACAATCCTTTTAAGACTCATCTACTGTAGAATAACTCTGGATGAAAAGAAAGCTGGACTCTCATCAAAGTACGAATCAGAAATACAAGTCTGCCTTGTCTATGAGGATGATACACTTGGATAATCATTGCCAAGCTGGTAAGACAGAAAGCGAACTGGGAGGATTTTTGGTTCTGAGGTTGGTCAGTTTGCTTTGGCACTTTTCATGTGAAGGTTTCTCCTCTTTTGCCTTTCTTTTTCTTGTTGGTTTGTGTTATGATGCTCTTTAAATTCATGTAAAAGTTTAAAAAAAAAAACCCTCCTTAAACAAAAAGCACACAGAGAAAGATAAATAAAATAAGGGATGGATGTAAAATTTCTCCATGCTGATTATTCAGTGCGACCTGTATTGGTAATTCTGTTTCCTCTTTGGTTGGTTTGGTCACATTACCTCTCATACACTAATGCAGGCATCGGTAAACAGGAAACAGAATGGGTCACACACATAAACACACACACACACACACTGCATGCGCGCAAATGCATTCATGCAAGCGTCAAAACAAAAAAGTCAATCTGTGTAACACTGTTGACGGATTACATGAAGACAAACAGAGGCTCATTCAGCCTAAATGCCCTCACATTGCACTTTATATCATAAACACACTCACACGCACACACACAACTGTAATTTGTCCTTTTTTTTGCCTATATTATGTATTAATGATCTCCGCTTAATACAGAAAATCCTCTTGGAGCCATTAAATAGCTCTACTGTATGTCCAAAGTGCATGTATACACCTTTTTTTTTCACACAGGAGCTCTGAATATTGTCCACAGTGTACACAGGACAGCCAAAAGCACAATACTTTTTTACCAACATATCTATTTGTACATTTTTTTTGTCTTTCTTTTTTGTATATTGTTTTCTTTTTTTGTCTTCTTTGTTCAATTTTCATCTTTAACATTCATTCACCAGTCCTGAACATGAAGGAACAATCGCATCATGATCTAACTCTCCGTCTCGATGTAGATGTAACGTGTTTTCTTTGTCCAGTACATGGCACAATGAGGTTGTGGTTCTGCTGAACAACAGGGTATCGTGAGGTTAGCCGTGGCCGTGAAGCATGTAAATGTGACGTCACTCCACAGGATTCGTAGCTCGTAGAAAGCAGAAGAGAGTCAGATTATTTGTCTACTTTTCTCCATCTCTCAGGCGGTTTTAACAACAATTTGGGTTGAGGATAATCTGCTCCTGTACTGTTAAACCCAAAGATACAGATGATGCCCCTTTTAACTGTGTGTCCATCTCTCTGGAAAAAAAAAGAAAAAGCACAGCAACTGTTTTCATCCGTCTCCTTCTCTGTCTTTATGTGTGCAGCAGAATCAACAACTGGGCACTTTAGGGTGACATTTTACTTGAAGACTTGCTTATTAATCAGCAATGCCTCATTTATAAGCACCATGTAGAATGTCCCTCCTGCATTATTCACGCCCCCCCTACATAAGAACTATTTCAAATGTGTAGTTATTGTAAATAAGCATATGGTAGTTGAATGAAATGTTCATAAGAGCTTCAAGTAAGATGTTACCCATGTAAAGAAAACTGTACCCGCTGTCTTTCTGGGAATAAGTCCTTTGTAACCAGGAAATGTTGTTACAGTAGGAGGTTCAATGTTGCTATGTACTGTAATATACAGCTTGATAATGATATATTGTATTTGACACATCCACTCTTCAGATTTATCAATCAGATAATACTAGCAAAATGTGAATATGTAACTAAAGGTTCCACTCCATGGCTGTTACGTTTTTTATTTTGAAAGCTGAATGAATCCGTTGTTATCGATGTGTTGTACTTTGCACTAATGTGAGGTCCTGTTAAAATCAAAAAATTTGCATTGTAAACGTACCCTTTACCTGTTAGATGCCAGGGATGCTCACTCGTACTATCATTTTCTTTTTATCATCAATTAATATTTTTTTTAAAACAAATTGTATTTGAAATTTGTCTAGGTTTGTTTTAGCCAATTAAGATACTAGAACGATGGAATGATTTCTGTCATGTACCTACCTGTTGTGTCCATCTAAAGGTCAAAAAGCTTAAAGAAAACAAAACTAAAGCTGGAACAACTATCAGACAGTACCGGTCTGATCTGATGTGTAGCTACCGGCAGTGGTGATGCACACCCTGCATAAATATCAGCTTGACACCTCTGGATGCTTCACGCAAACGCCAGATTGCGAGCGCATGTTTGTGCAATCTGTTGTTCTGCTGACGTCTATTGGAGACGTTGTTGTTCATGTTTCTGCGTGGAATATGATACAGCAGGGAGGGAAAAAACAATGAGACAGCGTGCGAGAGCAGTATGGACAACAAGCTGGAGTAAGAGAGGGAGCTGTGTTATTAATAGAAATAGTGTGAAAATATGGAGTGAAGCTGCACTGATCGCGGCCTGTTTAGGATTAGAATGTGCTTGCATGTGGGGAGGCGTGCATGGGAAGTGTGTGAGCATTAGTTGAGTTTCTGGGCTGTGTGAGTTAAATGCTGGCATGAATCAGGACAGACACCTCTGCCCCCGTCCTCCCATGGCTTGTCTCATCTCATTTGTCAATGGAGCATATTCATTGCTGCTGCCTGCGCCTGTGTGTGTGTGTGTGTGTGTGTGTGTGTGTGTGTGTGTGTGTGTGACCATGAGTGCATCCATGTATGTGCGCAATCAGCCACCTATTTGCATTCCTTCACTCTGGCCTGCATGGATGTGTGTGTGCATGTTTGTGTGCTGTTGTTGTACCATCTTATATGAAATGTCTGTCAGTTATTTGAAGCTTTCCTGTGGAGAATGCCTACACATTTCTGCATGAGTCATCCCGCACTGCTCAAACACACCCGTATACACATACAAACACACACACACACAGGCTCATAAAACAGGCATGGAGGCAAAATAGACAGACTGCATGCCCTTAGCTGCACACACACACACACACACACACACACACACACACACACACTTATACACACACACGTTACATTCACACAGGCCTTGTCAGTGAAGTCTCGTTGGCTCACTGGCTGTTTTTCTGCTCTGCGCTGTTGTACAGGCACCACTGTCAGCATTACTTCTCCATAAATCAGCTGTCTGCCCCCGGAAATCTTGAGTCTCTTTCACATTCATCCCCCTATTTTTTTTTATTATTTTTTTTGTGTGTGTGTGTGCGTGTTTTTGTGAGTCGGTTGCACTTGAACAGACTGAAAGCCGACCATGGTCACATCTGATTGTAGATAGCTGTAAATAGTGTTCAAAGGACTTAATATTTCAGACATGAGAGAGTGCAGAGGAAAGGATGCTGTGGTGGGAAGGTGCCGTCACCTGAGTTTTCTTCAGAGGAGACTTTATGTCAACTTCATCAGCTGTCATAAAGTTGTTTAAACTTTGAGCTTTTTCCAAAGTATGCTATAATTTTCTCTGCAAGAAAAAGAGCTAATTGACTTCTAAAGAGGAAACTTTGGAGGCCCAAAGCATTCAATATTAGATTACTTAAATAAGATGACTAGATACAGACAAAAATAACTATGAAAATCTGGAATAATACAATAAATGTTTATTAATTTTAACCTGCTTCTTTTCACAATAACAGAGTTTATTACAGGTCATTTTCATTTAATTCAGTGTTGTTTATTTCCAAATGTAAATTTTATTTTGAACAGTTAATTTTATAACACCACTTTTCATCACCAAGTCTGTCAATCAGGACAAAACCAGTTGTGTGATAAGCTGTTAGTTTAATAAGACCAAGGCAGCAGCCAATCGCATAACAGAATGTGTTCCTTGTTTGTTTTGAAGAAAAGTGGCATTATAAAATAAACAACAACTGGGGGGGTGAAATAAAAACAGTCTTTGTGTTTTTTATTTTTATGTATTGTACGGTGTTCCTTGAGTGCCCAGAGAGGCACCTTTAAATAAATAAAATGTATTATAAGAACTAGGAAATAAAAATATGGAATTAAATAAAGAATGTCCTACAATGAAATTATGCAATTGTGAAAAGAAGCAAGATAAAAATCATTTTAAGACTTTGTTATTTTCGATTATTTCAGTTTTGTGGTTAAATTATATATTTTGTCTTTATGTAATTCGTGTGATACCTTATTTCATAATGTCATCTTTATTAATTTAATATTGAGCACTTTGGGTCCCCATAGAAACCTACATAGGGAGCACTTGTCCCAAAATTTAAATTAGAACCAGGTGATGATCACCTCACAGTGTTTACCATCAGTGAGATACTGACTGGTCATGTTGCTGAAGAGTCTTGTACAGCAGAGGAAGTGTGGTTCACATGTGTCCTTCCATAGCAGGATGGGAAACATGACGCCGTGATGCTGAAACAAAGGGCAGTCAGTAAAGTCTAAATAGACCGGAAAGGTTGTAAGGTATGTTCCATAAACTCATTTCCACCAACAAGGGCAGGTTACAGTCCTGTTGAGGCAGGCAGAAAATTAGTGTTGGAGGATGAGTGGAAAACTGACCCCGTTAACCTCTCCGGCTCACCCCTTTACATCTCGTCTGATCGCATCAGATCCTCACAAGCTGTTTTTTGCGGACGGGGCATAAAGTGGGGCATATAGACTTTGTGGGTAATGTAGTTTGGTACTATCCTGTCACTCTGGCCCTTCATTCCTGCATGGTCCCTATTGGTGTTCCAGCCAGCATGAGAACAAGGACACAAACTGTGAATCATCTTTGTATTTTTTAAATAAATTCCTCAGCAGCATTTACGGCTTCAGTTTTGCAAATGGTTCGTTTATTTTAAGCACTTATTGTTTTTTTTTTTGTGTAAATTATTCTATTGTTTTTTTTGTTTGTTTGTTTTTCTGTTGGGACTTTTTTATTTAACTAATTATGATGTATAGATATTTATTCTAGCAATAGTCTTCCTATTAAGATATACTGTGCTGATGCATCCTCTGAATAACTGAAAATAACATATATATATAGATGATAATAATAATCAAATCTGCAAAATGATTTTCCTAATAAAAATGTGAACTGAGGAGGGTTTCTCGTCTTTTTGATTTTTGGATGATTGGTCGGTCCACCAATTTGGTCCAAACTCAAACAACTATTTGATGTATTCTTATGAAATTTTTGAGACATTCATGGTTCCCAGAGGATGAATCCTCATGACTTTATGTGTTCCCTTGACTTTTCTTCTAATGCCACATTTGTTTGAGTCAAATCTCTCAACTACCGGATGGGTTGCCATGCCATTTGGTACGAACATCCATGTCCCCCTCAGGATGAATTACTGTCTTTCTCCCCTGACTTTTCTTCTAATGCCATACCGCCAACAAAATTTCAGTTTGTCCAATAGTATTTCAATTATACTAAATAACTGAAAAACTAAAGATATTCTCATCAGCCTCTGTTTAGTGCCAATTATCAAATGTTAGCATACTAACATTGGTGGAGGAAGTATTCAGATCCTTAAATAGAACCAGCATTACTGCAATATAAAAATACTCACAATGAAAGTCATGGATTGACAATTCCATGATAATTATATTATTGGATTATTATAACTGAAGTGTTGGTGGAATTTTACAGTTGTAAAGCTGTCAGACAAATGTGCAGTAAAAAGGAGGCTATTAGGCCATTAGGCTATAGGGCTGTGTAGTGGAGTAAAGGTATAAAGTTGTATAAAATATTCTCAAAGTAAAGTACAAGTACATCAAATATGTGCTTAAGTACAGTAGACCATGTACCTGCCATACACACCAACCCCTGCATGCTAACACCCTCACTGGAGAACATAGTAGGATGCTGGATCCAGTCTCCCACCTCTCTCCCTCCTCACATCTGCTTGGGGATGCTGTGCCCAGCGCGGTTGCTATGGAGACGGTGTGACGTTGACGACGGTTGTCGCATCAGAGTGTGGTCTGACCGTGGGGACAGAGATGCGTTACGACAGGCGCAGGTCTCCCAGGCTGCTGCTGGAGTACAACAACGCAGGAAGACAAAAAGAAAAACAACAACAACAAAAAACTCTCTCCCCTGAGGCCAGTGTGGCAACCCCTCTGCTGGATTTTAATGAGACCAGTCTCTTGTCCACACGCAGACACACACTTGTGCTTCTAGCCAACGAGGGGAAGTCTATGTATTGGGTCAAAGATACTCCTGCCAGCATGCACATGACAGCTCAGAGCAAAAGACAAAAAAAAAAAAAAAAGAAAAAGGTTTGTGTGGGTGGGTGGATGGGGGGTGCCACCTCTGTCAGCCTGAGAGCATCTTTTAGTTGTGACTCATGGGCTTCCACCGCTGATTTCTTAGAAAATGAAGAGCTCTGCTGTAATCCACTGTAACCACACTGCCTCTTCAACAAGACACACTCAAGAGGGAGGGAGGGAGGGATACAGGGAGAGAAATGGAAGACGAAAGAGAGACAAATGAAGGAGCTAAAAGGTGAGGAAATGAGGAGAAATGTATAGGCATACGCATAATTTCACACGTCAGTGGAAATGAGGCCAATGCGGTACTCTGTGGGAGTTATAAATAGCTCTCCTGTGGTTATAATAAGGAGCTAGAAAAAGGTTTCCATTGATGTGAAGCCATGGCTGCAGAAGTGCGCATGTTTGCATCAAAGCAGCTCTAAGACTGAATGTACCTACATCTCTGTCAGCATCAACAAGGTTTCATGGCCCAAAAACAAAGATCCCAAACAATCCTACACACCAGACCTCTATGTCCTCTTCACCACAGAGCGAATCGTCCACAATCTGCCAATAATCATGCAGCAGATGCAGCACTTTTTAGCTCTGTGTGGAGGAGTGGACTACAGCTCGGTGGAAACGGAGGATGCGTGTTTTGCGCCGGGCCTGCCAGGAATAGAAAGGAGCGGCCCACACCTCCCAAGAGAAGACGGAACTACAGCTGGGTCAATGGCGCCCCTGTGTGGCAGCACAGCGCAACGGACGCATGTGGAGACGAGTCGGTTACACTGAGAGGTACACAGATCCAGATGTGCACGACAGAGGGGAATTACACGACTTGCAGGCTGGATAGGGAGCGGGGTTAAGGTCATGTAGAGTTGTGAAATATGGTTTATTTTAGGCCATGATGGCAACAGAGAAATGACAGAGCAGTGTGCTTTATTTGAAGTAGTTTACAGTAAAATCTCTTGCACTACCGTCTTCATTCATTTATTTTTGTTGCCCCTTGTATCTTAAATCCTGTGCAAAGAAGATGCTTATAAAGAAAAACATATTTATACGCTTGAACCCCTGGAAAAACATGTACTACCTTACTGCATTGAGGGTACTAGTGAGCATGTATGCTGAAGCAATATACTTAATTTCATATGCAATGAAAAAATATGCAGGTGAATTCTGTAGTAAATAATTTGATTATTTGCATGGAATCAGAGCCAACAGCTATTATTAATAATAATAGATTTTTAAAAAGGATCAGATATTAAATCCGCTGGTGCGAAGATAAAGCCATTCAACCTCTAAACCAAAATAAATGTTTTTTTAGGGGGTGTCAAGATATATATATATATATACATATATATATATATATATTTTTTTTTTTATTTTTTTACTTCATTACTAAATAATTGTGAACACACTGAGATCAGGCCATTCATTTTTAATGGGGCTTTCATTCATGCAAGTTTTACCCATTAAAATATCCACTAAAATGTCCAAATTTACAGGTTTACAAAAGAGGTCCCCAACAACAGCAACAGATGACTCCCATTAAATATACTATTATTTATTCCTTTAATCAAAAATAATTGGAAAACACATCTATTCCGACTCTTCCTGTTTCGAGGATACATTCGAGAGATCTCCGTGAATTTGTTTGTTTTTGAGCCCCAGCGGGTTAAAGGTGCTGTCACCGGATCGGATGGAGGGAGGGAGAAGGAGAGAGGTAGGAAGAGAAGGGAAGGGAAGGGAGGAGGGGGGGGGTAGAGGAGTGGACAGACACTGGTAACGGAGGGGGAGGCGTTTGGCTCGGTGAAGACGGGGAGTGAACGAGCAGAGAGGGTGAGAAACCAGCGGATCTGGCCCTTTAAATCACCAATACAGCGCATTCGGAGGTGAGTTTGGAGATATTCGGGTATTTTTCTCCCTGTGTATAATAATTGTAACGCGTCTGTGCGCCTCTGCAACCCCGGCTTCTCGTCATCGAGGGCGGCTGCAGCGAAGAGGGGCTTCATCAGTGTCACGAATCCGGTTTTCCCCAACCCTTTGCCGGCAGAGAGGGTGGGGAGGACCGGGGACAGGGTCAGTGGAAGATTTCCTACAGCTCGGCTGGACTCTTGAGGACGCACAAGCCACTGTATCCAAAAACCTCTGGATTTTATCTACTGAAGTAGGCCGTATCCCGATCAATTTGCATAATAGCGGAACATAAAGGCATGCGCTCTGGTCTTGTGCCCATTGTCGCTGGATGGGTTCATATTGGCCGCTGGAGCCTGCCTCCCTCAAAACATGTCACCACCCTGCTCCCACGGCTAACAATCAGGGCCTATTTTCAGTCCTGAAGCGGTCTAGTCTGGTCTTCACTTGGGAAAATATCTCTGGCTTTGATATGTGCACAAGGTCTGCCTGTGCTTGCGCGCCTGTGCGTATGCGTGTGTGTGTGTGTGTGTGTGTGTGTGTGTGTGTGTGGAGTGTGGATAGCCATGGGAGAGAGAGAGGACATGCTGTTCTATCCATCAAAATGCCCGCATTGTGTTTTCACACGGTAGAGCAGCAAGCAGGGCCTATAGCGGAGGACATGGCTTCGAACTGCAGGCCCGATCAGCGCTCAGGAGCAGCTAGGATCAATAAGGATTGATGCATTTTTGCGCGTCTTGAGAGCGGCTGTGGGCTCGCAGGCTCACTCGCTGGCCGGGGCCTGTCCAGCGCTCTGGTGATGTTTTTGGTCCAGGCCAAGAGAAATGACCAGCTTGTTGTATAGGTTCTAGCTTCTTTGCATCGGCTTTACAAGCAGAATGTTTTTAATTTTGGGGGTCGTAGAAGAGGAGAGATTTGGCTGTGGAGGGGGCAAACGTTCAATATTTGTGCTGGTTTTTATGGGTACAGCTTCCTCCTCTCAGCGCGGAATGCGCCATAGCAGAAAGTTTGAAAAATCAACAGGCTGGAGAAATCAAAACACTAGGTTTATGATATCGCATAAGTGTGGAAAAAAGTGATTTAGGCAATATATTTCTTAACTGCGCTGTCTTTCGTTGCTTATTTATATGAGAAAATATGAAAACATACATTTCTGAGCAAAACCATCATTTTCATTTGAATGTGCACTTTCAAAAAAGCTAAAGTTTGCGAAAGGCAAGAAAGCTTGTACACAAGGAGGATACGTGTTGTCACATCCTTTCAATATATGCCCAGTTATGTTAAAAGGGAAGCATTTATATTATTTTAGAGGAAGCAGATCCTATACAAGAGTTTGGCAACAAAATAAGATGCACACACACAAAGAAACTACTTGTTCAATAAGCTTGTTTATTTTTTTTGTAACTGGTGTTGATTCAGCTCTGTGGTAGTTTATCTGGCTGATTTTGTGGTGTTTACTTGGTTTATTATTAGGAGTTGTTGCTGTTCATATTTATATTATTCTGTTGGCTGTCAGACTGCATGTGGGGTGATTTAGGGACCCTCCTCAAACCATGAAAGAGAATAAGAAGATATGTTGTTATGGGAAGGTTGTGTGTTTGTGTGTGCGTGCACTTGTAATAAACACATTTAAGGACATTCATCTGTTCACACAGTATTATTGACACCCACCTCCTATTTGGGGACGAATAACAGGTCTCCACAAGGTAAACCGTTACATTTCAGGGTTGAAACTAGGATTAGATTCAGGTCGGGGTTGGCTTTAGGTATATGGTGGTTAGATTAATGTTCAGGAAAATTTCCATTAGTGGATAATTTGTGAGGGAAATGGATACCTGAATGTATGTTAAGTACCACTAATCTGACCAACAATAAGCTTTTTACTCTTACTTAACCAAATACCTGTTAATATATGAAGCAGTTTGTATTCTAAAAAAAAGTGTATGGTGTAAATTCCTTGAACTAATAAGGAACTAAGGAGTATTTACATTTCCAGAATGTGATCTAACAACACACTAATGTTTTCTTTTTGGTATCTTTTTGGTATTGATACTGAAAACAAGACTTTAAGTATCAGCAGTATCGATACACCCATCCATAATCTTCAGGGATCTCATTTAAATCAATGTAATGCCATCAAAAACAAGTGTGTGAGAGAGAACAAATGAACAGAAAAAGGACAGGACCAAAACCCCTCAAAGTGGGGGTAATTTGAGGGATTAGGATTTGGGCTCAGGGTTAAGATTAGGATTAGGATTCAGAATTAGGGTTAGACTCGGGGAAGAATCAATAAATGTCTTCACAAGTATAACACAAATGTCTGTGCAAAGAGATTATTTTATCAGGTGTTATATGTCTATTCACTCCCTCCTTTCTCTCTCTCTCTCTCTCTCTCTCTCTCTCTCTCTCTCTCTCTCTCTCACATACACACACACACACACACACACACACACACACACACACACACACACACACACACACAAAAGCCCTAATTACAGACATGAATCTCTGAGCTACTCCACAGTAGGAGTAATTAAAGCAGGACTCTCCTCCCGGGAGAGAGATGGTGACAGACAGAGAGACACAGTGAGAGACACAGTTGTAACACACTCATAGTGATGTACGTGAGGAGCGAGGTGTGCTTTGATCATATGTACCGGTGCGGAAACTTCTACACTGTGCTAACAGAAGTGTAAAAGAAAGAAACTGAAGTTTTTTAAATGAGTTTTGGACACCACAGGTATGAAAGGACTCGAAAATTCCTTTTTTTTTGGATCAGTGATACAGGAATGTTCTACCATCTGATCAATTAAGTGGGATTACTGGTGGTTTGTGAAGAAAAATGAAGTTGTGATGACAGATATTGTAATACGAATGATAAGGCTCATGATGACAGTTTGGCATTGAAGCAAATTCCTCCCTCATGAGCTCAAAGTGTTTGCAGTTTTTATATTACAATATTAAAAACTGCATTTTTCGTTGGGCTAGACAAAATGCAGGGTGGTTTGTGATTATTCTAACTGAAGTCAGCAGTTATCCCAACTCAAAATAGTATAAGGATGAATGCTGATGTCACTCTCATTACTAAAACAATAAAAAAAAAAACCTCCCATATGGGTCCATGGAGCTAAATCTGAAAACCAAAAGGTGTTTGGGATCTGTGACATCAAACATGTTTTAGAACTCCAGGTATACAAAACTACAAATAGAAACTAACATTTGAAACTATATAAATAAAATGAAATGTATAAAATGTTTGCCAGTCTGTAAACTAGCTTCGTAAGCAGCCATTTCACCTGCTCTCCTTTTTCACAGAGACAAGCCAATGTGAGCTCAGCTGCCGTTCAGCTCTGTCGATTGACTTGGCAACTGTCCGCTGCACCACTCAGATTGTCCTCTCCATCCAGTCACATTTGTGTTCAGAGAGTCTGCCTACCATCAGTCAGGTAACACTCTATTATCTCTGTTTATTTAACTTCCTACAGGCTAAAAAAGATTTACCAATATTGAGCATGAATGACAAGCATAGATCATAATGTTTGAGGTGCTTTGCAAGCTCCATCCTTTGTTATATTGTGCATATCACCTCCAAAAACTGTATTTTGGACAAGAAACTGCCATGTTTCACTCATTGATAGTGTTGCACTACCATGTTGTAACCTCACAGTGGTGCTATAACTCTACAACTGAAGCCATACAGTCCTCTGAATGGAGCTATTGGTGATGCAGCTCATCAGTTGTCACATCATGCAGACAACTCCTGAAGTCAGTGAAATAATTATATCAGAAATAATAATAAACTTTGTCTTTGTTTAATCTGGTCAGTTTTGAAACATGTATAGATGTCGATGCAGTATACATGGCCTTCATCTGATCTTTGACCCTCCAACTCACAAGTGTTTTATTTAATATGCAACAAACAGTGGTCCTTTATTTTTTTAGAAGTATTAATACCACAATGTCAAAATATTCCATCAAAATAAAAGTCAAGGATGAAAAAAACTTGCTTAAAACCAAAGAAGTGTCATTAACAAAAAATAAAGTAGCAAAAATAAAAGTACTCATGCAGAAAATGGTCCTTGTTAGACTACATTATTATATACTATATTATTGGATCCCTAATACTGCATGCAGCATTTTGATGGCACACAGTAGTTGGCAAAGCTCATTTAAAGTACTTTATTATAAACTAGTTTAACATATTTAACATATTTATTGCTATTTTATAATGTGATCCTATGACAAATTATAATAAAAGTAAACTAAGGTAAACTAAGGCCTCATCCTCTATTGTGCAATTTCAACATCCAGATTCACCCGACTGCTTTCTAGTTCAGCTGGAGTCAGCGCCACCTCCACACGTTTGACAGTCAGAACTCTAAATACTTTCATACTCTCTGTCTCTCTTTCATTCAGTTTTCTCCTGTGTTGGTGTAGTCTGATGGATCAGTATGTCTACCACTAATAATATCGCCCAGGCCAGGAAACTGGTGGAACAGCTGAGGATTGAGGCAGGGATTGAACGCATTAAGGTAGGACATTAGTTCACTGCCACGTTTTGTATCTTGTGTGATTATTCATCCACGCCTGACCATCCTCTCCTTATACTCCTTTTTTCACACTCTTCCTTTTCCCCCCCTTTTTCCTACCTTTCCCCCTGTTCTCCATCATCACACATCATCTTTTCCTTTCCTCCGCTTTGCCAATTTAAATCCGAAATACCTTCTTCCCTCTCCCCCTCTTGCCTTCCCTCATGTCTCGCCCTTTCTCCTGACTAGGTGTCTAAAGCAGCAGCAGACCTGATGAGTTACTGTGAGCAGCATGCTCGTAGCGACCCTCTGCTGGTCGGGGTTCCCACCTCCGAAAACCCTTTCAAGGACAAGAAACCCTGCATCATCCTATAGCTGCGCTACGCTCCTCCTGCCCTCACACTCACACACACATACACAGACAGACACACACTCACACATTCAGTACTTAAATTGATCCCCAGACTTCCCCAGACACACACATGCAGACACACACTTCAAGCAGCCCATCTAGCATACATACACTCATAGAAACACACACACACACACACTCCCAAAATAGCCACTCTGGAAAAGCGCCATACCCCAGAGCCACAGCTAGGGGGCAGGTATCTTGTGCTCACAGTGGCTGAGATCAGTATATCACTGAGTATGATCCAAGGTGCTTTGGTAATATTCACATATGCTGGTAAATTAACTACAAGTGTCAGCTTAACTTGAAAAGGGATTTGGACATTAATAATTAGTAGGAAACCAGGATTTCGTTTTTCTTTTGTCATGAAATGAGGGGCTGGGTAAAGGATGGACAGCAGTGCCATAGGCAAGGAGCGGGAGGATGCATGTGGGCAACTGAAATGGTCGGTAGGCGCTCCTGCCAATCGTGCCAAACACGACCTAGTGTCCCATTAAAAGCTGAATAAATGCTTTTTATTTGAGGCAGTTAAAAAAAGGTCTGAGAGCTTTTGCCCTTGAACCTGCCCATGCTAGATCATGGCAGGTCATTTTGGAGTGTGTGGCTGAAGCCTTTGCCTTTTATCGGGCTAGCATGTTCCAACCCAAACCTGTACCAACAGACCTTCTCTGCCTGTGGCCTCACTAAGGCTGTTTGCAGCCTTTGGCCAAACCTCCATCTGTGCCATCATGTACAGAAAGCCGTCTCTAGATGCTGATCTGCCGTCACAGATTCAACTGCAGTTCATTACGGCTGCTCTTGGTTGAAGTCGATGTCTAAGATGACCTCAGATCTGCACCTATGAGGGGAACATAGTGAACTGCTCTACACAGAACTCAAGCTATAAACCCTGGACGTTTACTGCATTTTTCTTAAGAAATACTTGTTTGTGAACTCAATGTATGTTTTGATATTTTGTTGAAGCATTACTAAGATAATACTGTACGTCTTTTTTTCTATTTTTTTGATCGTTTTGCTTTGACATAGGTGTTGCCCCTGGCTGATCAGGTTTCTCTCTGATGAAACTACAGGCGATCTGGTCGTAGGCCAGGGGTTATACCTGACTAGATACCCGCGAGGATCTTAAACAAACGTTTCTGTACATCAAACCTCCCTGTGCTTTAAACCTGAGAGAGGGCGAGGTCGCAGACTGACAACACCACATCAGTCTGTGAGGACTGCAAAGCTGGAGGAGAAAACCCAAACTTAAAATGTAAAAGTGAAGCTGTCCCTTTCCTGCCTTCTCTACTTATGTTTGATTCTTTCAATTGGTAGTTTTTATAAGCTTAAGGAAAAGAAGAGAGATGCATTGGAAAGTGCAAAGATGGAGGTGTTTTTTTTTTGGATGCCTCTACAGTCGAGAAGCAGGGGTGCGTCTTGTTTTAATGCAAAATAATTCTGGCTTTAAATCCGATTAGAATAAGCATGACCTGGCCTTACCAGTCTTTAAAGTTTCCAGTGTCCCCATTAGACAAGCCTTCTTTCCGCGTGAGCTCAAACTGGTCAGGGACTGGATCGGTAAGAGCAAGCAGCCCCCTCTTGGTTTCCTCCTCTCCTCCACAATGCTCCTCCTCTATGACAAACCAAACTTGATTGTAAAAACTGAAGACGACGTGAGAAAGAAAAAAAAAATGAAGTCAAGAGAAACAAACCAAGTGTATAAACTTTCTTTCAGACATGTGCAGAAGTGATAAGTTGAAGAGTAGCTGTTTTGGGTTTATTTTTGAGTTTTTTCTTTCTATGGAGTCCATGGAACCTGGTCAGTTGAGTATTACCCTGTACAGTGTTTGTAAGATACAAAATCTAAACACAGAATCCCCCTCTGTGGATGTTGGATTTTTTTAGTACTACTTATTCTGTTCTGTCAGTCAGAATCATGTCTGTCTTCATTTTTTATTTTTATTTTTTTGTCATTCAGGTTTTAGAGGCCTGCGATAGCGGAGGATGGTTTTAACCACATACAAATACAAACGCCTGATGAGGATATATTGGAATAATGTTGAGATAGAATCAAACGCCCTGTTAGGTTTAGGATCATATCCCGCTAGAGGATGAATCAACATCGGACCTCATTCCAGTGGCAAAAACCAACCTCCTGATCTATCCTTTAACACCAGACAAGCCCACAAGTTTTTCAAGTGTTGGTTTTGGTGGGCAACAGGCAACTAGGACAACACACACATGCACATTACACACGCTCCCTCTTTGCAGTTGCTTTTTAGGTTTGATTGTCAAAGGTTAAAGGAGTGGTAGGCTCAGCATTGAGCGCTGCTTTTGACGGTTAATTGCTGAAAGAAGGGAGCTTTGTGCCATCATATTTACATTTGGGCATTTAGCTGAGGCTTTTGTCAGGTGTAACATACAGTGACAGAGCAGGGTGGAGACATTTAGAAAGGACTTATGGCTGCTGACGGACAGTGAGGGGAGTTGAACCTGCGCCTTTTCTGTTCTCTAATCACTAGGTCAATATGAGCTACCTGCTATTTGGGAGTCAGGAGTTTTTTGTCAGAGGTGATGAGAGGTGCGTTTGCCTCTTGATGAACAAGGTTTGAAAAGCAGAAAGTCTGTTGGAGACAACTTGCAAAAAATGTTTTGTGTCTGTAACGTAAATATGAAGCTTCAGCCAGCAGCCAGTTAGCTTAGCTTAGCATAATGACTGGAAACAAAGGTATCCTAAATCCTAATAAACGTGTGTAAAACGTGTAAAAAGTTTTACACGGGGCTGAGCTTAAAAGGTGTTGACTGGCTGTTTTTTTTTTTTAGTTTTGTATGGTTTTGGATAGTTTCCACCTGTCTTAATTCTAGGCTAAGATAACCTGGCTGCTGGCTTTACTTTCATATTTAATGGAAAGACACGAGAGTGATATCAATCTTTTTATCTAACTCTCAGCAAAAAAGCAAATAAGCATAATTCCTAAAATGTGCAAACTATTTAAAAAAATAATAATAATAATAATTAACAATTCAAATCAGGGTTAAATTTCTAATTAACATTGCTGCTAGTTCACCGTAGGCAAGGGTTTCTGATACAAAGCCCTGCTTCATCATTTATTTGCCTTTTGTTCCTAACAGAGGGAGCAGGCCGTTCCCAAAGTACATTGAGAGCAGGAGCTGGAAAAACGCCATCGACAGGACCGAGGGTGTGCATGTGCGTGCATGCGGTGTGTGTGGGGGTGTCGGGTGCTAATGTTTGGTAGCTAAAAAGGATGATTTGACAGAGCAGTAGGCGGAGAAGAGAAAACAGAGGTGCACGCATTTGTGTGTGTGGTCTGTGTGTGTGCGTATTTGTGAGAGCCAGTGTGTAAGAACACACAGTGCCTCTAGTGCAGTGCAGAGTGTCACATAGTAATGTTACAGTACTGCAGCCCTGCAATTCCAGGTCAGGGTTAATTTGACCGAAGAAGAGGTCATGTGACGTCATGTTGAGTCAGAACAGCATGTATGGCCTCCACTCACTCTTTCTATCAGTCAAAGGTTAGTTAGCTCATTCCAGAGAGGAGGATTCAGTCCCGAGCTAAAATTGTTCAGTTGGAGTGTGGGAAGCTATTTTGGATTATGATGGCCAATAGTAACCCCAATAATAGTCATAAAGCTGACAAATTCAGTTCTTGGAAGAAGACTCAGCTTTTTCAGCTACATTATATTAACTGCAGTTTATTGTCACCACTCATTTTATCCTTAGCGACCTAAAGTCATGTCAAACTATACATGTTGGGAAATATGCTTATTTGCAGAGAGTGAGATGAGAGGATCAATACCACTCTCATTTCTGCCCGTTAAATATGAAGCTAAAGCCAGCAGCTGAGTAGCATTCAGCTCACGCTCCACAACATCACTCCACCAGGCCAAGAAATAGTTCAGTTTATAAACCCCTGTTTACACTCTGGTTCTTGTACAGGTTAAACAAACTAGATATACTGTATTAATCAGTGACCTTTAGAGTTGCTGGAGAACTTTTGTCACCTCAGAGAGCCTGACGTCTCATCTGAACTAACCTCTCTTCCATCGCCTGTTACTCAGTGCAATCTCCTATTCAGCATTTCTTGCATCAACTACAGCAATTGCTATAAGAAATGGAAATCCTTGTGATCTCAGCAAGATTGAACAATAATAACTTTGTGAGTGCAGAAAACACTATAGGCAGTACAAGCACGGCAGCAGCAGCACTTATGTCATTGCAACTTGATTTTTTTCCATGCCCACAGTAATTTATCCAACTTCATAGTTGTAATCTTGCCTGTCTATAAAACCTTTGCAGTGTTACGTACTCTCTGTCCTGCTGTTGGTACAGACATGTGCTAGCATGAGCTAACCACAATATGCTCATGGACTCGGCTATTCAGTCAAACCCTGACATTTAGCCTGCATTTGCATAGGGTTTATGGGAAATTGTGCTTGAGCCACACAACATAACGTTGAGAAAAGCTCTGTTAGCTTTGTTACAAATGTCAATGGGATTTTGAATGAGGCATTTCACTTCAGCTCTCTTTAGCATTGCTATAGCCTAGTTCTCTGTACAGAGCCAGGCTATAAGTTCCCCCCTGTTTCTAGTCTTTATGCTAAGCTAAGCTAACCAGCCCCTGGCTGCTAGCTTCATATTTAGCAAACAGACTTGAAAGTGGTTTTGATATTCTCATCAAACTCTCTGCAATTGATCCATTAAGAAATAATGCAAAATGTCAAATGCCTTTATCTAATCTGTAGAAATAATGGAAGAGATGGTTAGACCTGATTTATGTGATATGAAAAGTGAATTTTCATCAAAATAAAAGGAACAAGCTAAATAAATATGATAACTATACAAACAAACCTGACTGAAAACTCCAGTGGGAGGTAGAAAGTAACTCAGAATTACTGATTTGGGATAAGTTCGTAGTGCAAGATTGGGGAAATAACTGATTCATTGTTTGGGAGAGAAATGGCAGTTCCTTATTTGCAAGGTGCAGCAGAAGATTCACACAGCATAAAATAAGCATGCATACATATCAGCACACACACATACACACACTGATGTTGTCCTGGAGATATTTTTTTACCATCATTGTTTTTTCAATCATTCCATTGCTGGTTGGGCTTAAAATCAGATACAGCCGGCCTAAATCGCCGGTTTGGCTGACAGTTTGTCTGATTGGTTGGTTGTTAGTTTGCCTTATAGTGGCGTATATTGTGTTAATGCTGGTCTTGGGGTTATCAGATCAACAGAATGAACAGTGTTAAAGTGGAACACATGGCTCGAGATGGGAATCCACTGTGTTGTGACACAAAGCGAGCCCGGTGAAATTAATTTCTAGTCAAGTGGGGAGAGTTGAGGCTCCTCACTGCTGGACTTTGAAATTTAAACATCACTGAATCAGCTCTGAGCCCTTCCCGAGACTCATCTTTTGTGTTCTGATCTCCTGTGTATGCATACAGTATATGTATCTTTTTGCCTTGATTGATTATGAAGAAAATATATCTATTTTTTGTAACTGTTCTCTGATGTGCCATAACTCATGTTTTCTTGCACACTGTTAATATTTTGTGGATATTGCTGTTAAAAAGATGATATTGAGAAGTAGATAACATTAATAAAAAGATGATATAATAACAAATGCTTTTGTGTCATTTTTATTTTTAACCATGCTGGTTGGTCCAGAGAGAAAGATCTAATCAACTATTGGATGCCATGAAAAAAAGACATTTGTGGTTCCTAGAGGAGGAACCCTAAAGATTTTGGTGATCCCTTGACTCGTCTTCTAAAGCAACTAGCAGGTTGAGATTTTTGCTTTTTGGCTGGATGAATTGAAGTTCTCTACAGACTTTCGTGGTTAACTTAAGTTATGATAAATCCTAATGCCTTTAGTGATCCACTGACTGTCTAGTGTCACCGTGAGGTCGACATTTGGTCTAAGTGAACAACTAATTCAATAGCTGTTGAGACAACTAACTTGGACCACAAATGTATGTCGATTGTTAAAGAAACTGGACATTTATGACCCTCAAGGGATGCATTTTAACAACTTTGGTGATCCCTTAACATTTCCTCTAGCATCATCTGGTTAAATCTTTTTGTTTAATTGTCCAATTACTTGGGTTTATAACCAAATACCTACAAACAATAATGACATTCCCACCAACCCATAGCTGTGCTTTGTGTTTACTGCTAATTCGCAATTGTTAACACGCGAACATGCAAAACTAAGATGGTGAAGATTTTAATCATCAACATGTTGGCATTGGCCTTGTGAGAATTACAACACTCTGCACTGAACAAATAAACACCTCATCCATTAAACTGGCAGATGCACGCCATCCATGTCTGGTTTTCTAGCTCTTCCTTATTAGTGAGTGCCAGGTTGGAGTTGTGATTAAGATAAGATGTTCCTTTATTGATCCCCCTTAGGAGAAATTCAAATTAAGACTTGGAAGTTGACATAAATGCTCAAAAACTCATAATTACAATACAATAACAATGACATGAGTACTGCATAAGTACAGTGTCACAGATCTATCTGCAAGCATTGCTGTGAGTTATCTTATTAATTATTAGCTGCAGTTTACTGAATTAACTTCCTGTGCTTTTGTTTTTCTTTTTGTGCTTTCTGAGGGTCTGTTTTTCTTTTCTCACAGATTGTAAAGATAAGCAAGACACTTGGACACACATGCCCTCTGTCCCAATAGGTACATGCAGTACAAAGATGAAAATAGCTGCACAAACAGAGTAAACAAAGAGAACGCCTAGGTAAAGCCTCCCCTTTGGGTAATTTGAAAGGAATGTCATTGTTACAAATCCTCTGTCTCAGGCTGTCTTGTGTGCCCTTTGAAGCATTTGAGCAGTCACGAGTTTCCTCCAAGTTTCAAACTATAGTCCCCCCCAACCCCTTCTGCAAGTCAAAGCCAATCATATTTTGGGTGGATGAACCACAGCCAATCAGAGGGCAGTCCACTCATCAGTCACACCCCTGTCCAGCTTATGGTTAACAAATGGGAGGTCCATGTGCCTGAATGTTCCCTCTCTTCTGCTCTGCAATCGGAGCTGTGACCAGACATGTGAGAGCAGAGGGTGGAGTGGGGAGCAAAACAGAGTGAAAGGAGGGCAGAGGGGAGGATAAAAACCACTTGTACAGTGTTGCAGGAACATCTTGCTACCTGATCATGGGGAGATACCGTGACATGGGTGGGGTTACACCAATTTGCACATGCTTTGGCTCTCAGCCCTCAAACATGCATCTGCAGGTTTAACTGCTTCATGTGAAGTAAATGATGTCCAACACTAGAATACAAAAGGTTTTAGCTGGCAACTTCCTTAGCTTTCCCCCTCTCTTGCATCAGCTTGTTCTGCCTGTTTGCTCCAACACAGAGTTTCTGTCTCCACCCCAGTTTCCCCTCTCCGACTGACTTTTGTTTACTACAAGGAAACTGTAATGCCCCGTCACTGACAAAGACTTTGTCCCAAGTGCGCATGTTTTTTTCCATTGCCTCAACCCAAAATGTAAACTGTAGTTGCGTGACTCAGCTACAGTTCCAGTTCTGTGACGCACGCATGGCTTTTGTTTTGAATTCGGAGCACAGACTTCTTGATAAGACAGTCAATTATGAATACAATAATTTATTGACTTAGTTAACAGAGCACTAAATTAGACCATAAATAGCTACACAAACAACTTATACAATCAATAAATTACTGGTGCTGCACTGTACATATAAGTTTAACAACATTTTATCAAAAAAGCAGCACTCCTGAAGGCACAAAGATGTTGACTGTGGTTTCTTTTGCAATACAATATGAAATTACAGCTGACATTTTCCAATCAGAGCAGACAGTTCATTATAGTGCTCATTCTGTATCCTCCTCTGACCAAAAACATCATGTTCTGCACTCCTTTTGCAATGTTTTTGGCCAATGAGTCCTGTGTGACTTTAACTCGAACATCATTTCCATTTCAGTTTCTATGGTGACGATTCCTCCACAGGTTCAGCTGCTCATTTTTTCAGAAACGCACACGCTGCACGCCCAGGCTTTTCTAAAGAAAGACCCAAGTATTGTACATGCATACCACGCATTCACACACACCTTCTCTCCAAGGACTCTCCCATGTCAGGATGCACAGGAATGTTGGGCATAGTTTCACTACAGCATTCCTGTCCTGTCCACAAGAAAACACACAAGTCTTCCCTGTATAAGTTGGGGTGTGGACATGTTTCTGCTAATGCTACTACTGCTCTTAATGATTGTCACACCCCATAAACATTGTAAGTAGCCAAACAGCAGCACATAGAAGCATCTAGTTTTACTGACAATGTCAAAGCAATGTGGCCTGAAAGGGATTTTGATTTTCTGTTTGTATCTTTTGCACAAAAAAAGATTTTGTAAACCAGTCTCCATTCATGACTGTTTCACTGGTCACCAAAAGGGAGTCATTGGTTCGTGCTGGTCATCAGTCAGGATCACCCAGCCCAGTCCACTCCATCTGCCATCCTGGCATGAGCAACAACAGTTCCGAGTATCTGAACCCAGAAAGCTCTAGTTTTTGTTCGCGTTTGTGGGTGCCAGGCCCTTCAGCGTTCCTGCAAGACCAGTTCCGGCACCCACTGGTCACGGCGTAGGCTTTCCTGGCAGTAGGTCCCCACCTCTTGTAGCCTGCAGTGATCAGCCTGGGGGTTCTGCACGGGAAACAAAACGCAACATCAAATTCATGTTCAGGCTTTAAAAGGTGAATTTGATCTTCAGAAAGATTTTCCAATTCACAATATAAAACTTAAAATTGTTTAAAAAATTCCAAAAAGTGCAATAAAAGTGAGATACTGCCAAGAGAGTGAGGCAACATTTTAGCTTTGGCATTAAAATAATAAAACATTTCCACTTTAGCCTTGCTGTTACATAACACAGGGCTGTTTTGCTGAGTCAACTCACCGTAACCAGCATGCAGTGGAGGTCTTCCTGGTTTCTGTTGGCATCCACAGCACCCAGCAGCTGCTGGAGGCGCTGAACTCCTGAGACTCGCAGGATGGTAAGGCCACTGTCGCAGCAGAAGGACTGTAACAGGGTGAAGTGGATCTGCAGTGCCACATCATCTGCATCGTCAGCTGCAAGAACGCAAAGGACCACACTGTCTGGGTCTCTGAGGAGAAAAGAGAAAACGATGAGTTATAGTCACCTGCACTCGCGTGTGTGGGATGGAAGTTATTTTCTGAAACGTAACAGAAGCTTATACTTGTGGGTGATCAACATTACAGGCATTGTGAAGCCAAACTTTCAACTCACGCATTTAGAAGTTTCGCTGATTCATAGATCCCAACGGTCAGGCAGTCTTGTTTCTGAGCAGTCACCAGCAACTCCTCCAGAGCCAGACCTACAGCCTGCATCCTGTGAGGGAAAGACAGAACAATCAACCTTTTGTATTCTGCAATCAAATATATACTTGTCATGTCACACACTTGGAGTTCTTTTAATAAATGGGTCTATTATTGTATTCACCTATTTTATGAAAATGTTGAAATACCTCTACTGTACATAATGATTAAGTCCAAGAAAAGTGAGATAAAATGGATGCTTTTGATACAATTAAAGAGGGACTTTTAACCTAATATGGTTAAACACAGCCTCCCTGCAAGATGTGCAACATGCATGCACAATATTGCACAAGCAAGTGCTAAAATTTGAATAACTACAGAATATGATTTTTTAAACTCAAACATTATTTATGCATTAACGTTTGAAGTGTTTAAAAAGACGGTAGCGGTTCTGACACCGACATGTTTAGCTGAAAATCTCTGCACTCAATCCAAACTGTGTGATTTTACTTCAGCAGTTCAGGCAATGCAAGGTTCAAAGAACGAGAAGGATTCCTGCCAAGCACATGATTCCCATCCACATGGCTCACTCAGACTGCCATACAACTTAACCAGCTGAATCTGACAAAGTGCAGAAAACCGACTGAGAAATCTCACCTGTTCTCGATAGATACAAAGCTTTCCTCTGGAATCATGTTTGCAAAATCCAAAAATGAATCCCAGTGAGAAAAGCGTGATAGTAAATCCAGGTGCTTTGAATATTCCTCCGGCGTGTCCAGACTCTGCAGGAGCGTTTGTTGTTGGCAACGTTGCGAAACACTCTTTATACCGGAGCTCAGAGGAGGGCGGCACCGAAACTCCCCGAGTTTTGCAATTGGCTCCAAAGAAACTTCAACGTCTCTCTTTGTCATGCAGACTTCGTTTGATCGTGTGGTTTCTTTGATTGATGATTTTACACGACATGAAAGTACGTTTGCTTTGTCATTTGGACTTGTTGAGTGACATTACAGGGCACAAAAAGCACGTGATTACAAGGAAATTCATCACTTAAAATCAACTCATTAAAAATAAATGTCCTCAATGTTTTTTGGACCAGATGCAATTGTGCAACATGAGCTACTCATCTTTTCATAACAGCCCAAGTTTTTGTAACTGGGATTATGAAATTATGGCTGACATCTAGTGGCTGACTGAGGGAATTAAAAGTCTGAGTAACCTTCCAGCTATTGTAAAACTGAAAGTCGAAAGAGTTTGAAGTCATACAAAACAAGCAAGACCGTTTCCAGTTTATTTCCATTTATTGTAGAATGACAACATG